AAGAAGGAGTAGAAGGAGAAGAAGAAGAGGAGGCTTTTTCTTTTTTTTTTTTTTTTCTCCATTGTTCTCCCCCCGGGGGGATGTTTACCAGGAGAGACACGGCGGATCAGATATGAAAGGCATTCAGGTCAGCATTGATGTGAGCGAAAGTGAAATCGTACCTAAGGCATTCCAAAGAGAGCCGCGGTGTCAGGGGGTCCGGGGGGCCGGCGGTGCCTCCTGCGAGTGTGTGTTCTGAGGGCCGGCAGGCACAGAAATATCTCCACACAAGCAGGAGGAAGAGCCAACAATCAGAGTGCACTGATGATAATAAAAAAAAAAAATGTGCAGAGAATTGAGTGATTCTTGAGAGAAAGGAGGAATTAATGGAAGTTTCACTCATTAGTTTCTGTCATTCGGAGGAACAAGCAATGCCTCTTTTAGCTTTTATCTGTGTGTCAAAAGTACTGCATCCATTCCACATTTCACTCCTGCAGGAAAAGCATGCATATAGTGACACAGAACAGCGAAAGGAAAAGGAAACAGCAAAATTAACTGCTTTAAAAAGCCTTATTATCAAAATAGTATTTCAGATTATACGGGATGCTATTATAGGTCATCCAGGTGAATCCAGCTGACATCTTGGTAGCAAAGCCCAATTAGGAAGTGAGCAGTGGTGTAATCTGTTTGGACCAGCTCATTTAGGGGATTTAATTATCAGGAAATAAAGTCAGGAAGTGTCCTATTTGCTCTATTTTCCAGGCTCATCAGGAGCCCCAAAAAGAAAAAAGGCCTCGCTTGAGTCCCACTTTTCCAGCACAAGTTTTTCTATCTGGTTTTTAAAGTAAGTAATCCCAGATTTCCTTCCAGAGGAATGCCCGCTCCTCCTCAGCTTCCTGCTGCTTGCGAGGAGCGTGGGGCGCAGCCCCGTGTGGGAATGGCAGCCCTGAATGCCGGCCTGGACAACCCCCCGCCACTATTGACGGTATAAACATGTAAATGAAACACATTACCGCTGACAATCAATTGTCCGCGAGCGCCCTGCGAAAAAGCAGCCCTCCTCCCATTTTTTTCCCTCTTTTTTCTCCCCCCCCTACATCAGCATTGCTCGGTCATGGTGGCAGGAATAAAAATAATAAATAGGAAAAGCTGGTATGATAGGGGAAAAAAAAGCGGCTCACCTAAACACACACCTTGAAAAAGAGGATTAAGATAATTCGGACGTGAAATTGTAACTAAAACATTCTGATTTGCGATTTCTTTGGACCCCAGCAGACTTCGGGTTATGTAATGCGTGTGCTCCCAACGCCACAAGATGGAAGAAATACAGCTAACCAAATTCGATGCTGCAGATATTCCGTCTTTTCTCTTCTTTAAATGTTGTCGTCTGATGCTCGTGCTGCTTGAGCGAGATGAAAATAATCCCAGGTGTGTGTGTGTGTGTGTTTCCGCTGGCCGCTCACAGCTGGATGTGACAGGCAACACCTGGCGGGGGCCAAACTCTCAAACAACTTCACGCTGCTCGGCTCAAGTTTCGCACCAGGAAAAAAAGGGCGAAGAGGCTCTTCTTCTCCTTTTTCTGCAGCATGACATATTTTTTTTTTGCGACTAGAGAAATGCCACGCATGGAGGTCTGGATAAATCATGAAGCGCTTAATTTCTGCAAACTGGAACAAATTCAGACAAATATTCTGGGAATTTTTTGCAAGTGGGGGGGATTAAATTTGGATGTTTTATTGGACTGAGAGGAATATTCTCTACATAAATTGGTATTAGGTCAAATTAGATGATTAGATTTGGGGATTTCTATCCGACTTGGAGCTCGGCGTCCCTCCACAGACAGGCAGGAAGAGGGGACAGAGAAGGGGAAGAGAGTGTGTGTGGGTGGGGGGGGTAAAGAAAAGAGTGGGCAAGCTTCAGTAAGCATCTGCTTTCCCAAAACAGCAGAAAAAAAAGATTTTTTTTAATTTAAAGAGAAGGTTGGATTAAAAAAATCCACAAATAATAACTAAAAAAGGGTTTTTTTTTTCTAAAAAGCAAAAAAAACATGTGACCAAGTCCTTTAAAAGTCTCTTATTATTCCTATTTCTCTTTTTTAATCCAAATAAACAGATAAATTGATATTTATAAATAGAATAAATCTGCTGTGCTTCTATTGAGAGAGGAGCTAAAGGCTTGTCTGCTATTGATTGTGTGAAATCAATAAAGGAAACCTGATCTAGATGAATAAGCAGTGCGGGCAGGGATTGAATTAAATAAAATAATAATAGTAATAATAAAGTGTGGGGTGATTTGGGAATATCAGCGTTTATCCTGGAAATTCCTCTGCAGGAAAAAAAAAAAAAGGTGGAATGTTTTCAATAAAATTAGAATTAAAATAATAATGCAACGTTTGAGGGAATTATTTCAACTATAAAATCATTAGAAGATGCCAAGCGGGGGAAAAGTCAGTCAATTGCACTTTTTTTTTTTTTTTAAATCTTTTTCCTCCGGATGGAGACGGATGAGTGGAAGCCCACTAAGATGCTCCTCACAGCGGATCCAGACCAGCCTTCCCAGGCGGGACAACCATCTGACCCCCAGCAGCCTCGGATAACTCCCCCCTCATCAATGCGTAAAAAGGCTCCAGCAGCCGGCAGCGGGCTCTCGCGCGTCCACGGACCCGCCGCGGACGCCTCCAACCCCGGCCACAACATCCACACATCCCCACTCTCCCACAGACACGCGCTCCCCGTGGGTTCCTTACCGTTTTTCCGCCTCGGATTGGCTTGTTTTCGCCTCTTACACCTGGGGCCATCCGCCATGATCTCCTGCCTCATGGATAGGTGTGTGTGCGTGGGTGTGGGTGGGTGTGTGTGGAAAGTGGTGGAGGAGGTAGGGGGGGATCAGATGGCAGCTCGCATGGACTCGATCCCCTGATTTTCAGCTTGATATCTGCAGGGAAACAGAAACACTGCGCGTCACAGAGGAGAACTGCCATTATTTGGATAAAAATCACCAAAATAGACTCTTTATTTCTGTTTAACTTTACTTTAAGTTGTGCCAAGAATGATTCTTAAAAGAAAAAAATAAAGAAAACATCTTTTTCTCCATGCATATATATATTTTATTTTAAAAAAGTAATTGAAACCTGGTGGATTATATATTTCTACCCTAATTAACTCCTATTTGTGAACCTCTGATAGGATAAAAATGTTTAAACAAGCAAAAAGAAATTAAGAGATAAATAAAAAAAGGCATTTTTAAGGTTTAAACCCTATTTTTTGCCGTGCATGCCTTCAGCTGCGCACCGCGCTCACAACCAACGGGGAAAACAGCAGAACTCTGAGAAAAAAACGCTGCTTTGTTTAAAAGCAAACAAAAAAACATTATCCGAACACATTAAAAGCTTAAAAAGCTAATTTCAAACCTGATCTAAACTTTCTTTTAACGCTTTTTTTTTAGATTTCGCGTTGAGCGGCTGCAGACATTTCTGCGCTTTTCCAATCAAAGCCAAAATAAAGGAATAAATTCTCAATTGGAGGGTTTTTTTTTTTCTTCTTTCACCTCGGATCGCTTGGATGTAATAAAATGTAAAAAAAAAAATCAAAGATGATTTTGGTTCCATTGAGGCTGCGGATTGAAAGCGGGGGTCCGTGTCCGGAGAGGAGGCTGCCTTCCCCGGACAGTCAGACCCAAGCCGGGACGCCTCCACCTTTGTCCTCCTTCTCCTCCTCCTCTCTTTGCGGGGATGATTTAAAAAAAAGGTACAGAAAGGAGCGCACCTTTTCTCCCTCCCTTCCTTTCCTCTATCCTTACTTCCACCTGTGCAGGTAAGTCGAAGTTAAGCTCCAAGTTTTACGCAGACGCGCGCAAAAAAAAAGTTTAAATCCATGAAAATCTCCTGGAAGAAAACAAAAAAGCTGAAATAATGATAAAAATAGGAATTAGAAATGCCTACCTGCTTGTTTCTTTTTTTTTTTAATTAAACGATGGCGTAAAAGAAGCGTCTCTTGGATGGGAGCTGCCGAGCAGGGATGATGGCGAGCGGATCCTTTTCCACCGGTGATAATAATAAAGCCTTAGAAATAAAAGCCTCAGAAATAGTTGGGAGGAGGGAGGGACCGCTATTCCTGCTAGGGCAGGTTTACAACTGATGTCTTACACCCACTCCAGGAAACAAACCTGGGTAGGGACTGACGTGTTACGCCTCTTCTAATGACATTTTTTTTTCTCTCTCCTCTCCTTCCACCTCCTTTTCTCTGCCGTGCGGAACACAGAGGAGGAAGAAGGAGAAGCCCCCTGAAACGCGCCACCTATCTTCACGGGAGGGGATAATTGAGGAGAGTCAAACGTGAGCATCTTCTCGGTTGAAGTTGTTTTTTTTTTTCTCTTCTCTCTCTCTCCCAGCTTTCCTCTCCCTTCTCTCTGCTCTCCTCTTTTTTTTATTGCGGCGCAAAAGCAAATATGCGGCACATTTCTCTTTATTCTGCGGCGCAGAATCAGAGGAGAAGCGACTGGAATCATGTAAGGCTCACTTTTTTTATCTGTTTATTAACTTTACCTTTAATCTAAATATCCAAATTATGCATTTTAATTTAATTTGAGAAAAAAAAGCAATTTAAATACATTAATTTTTCCACATATAATCAATAAAAATATGCATTTATCTAAAATAAGTTGGCGCACCTGATTTTTTCTGCGCCCTGCTCCAACGTGAGACGCACCTGCGCGCTGCAGCCAGGTGCAACCAGGTGTGCTTCCACACAATTAAACGCGTGCAAAAATTATTTTGCAACCTGCGCAAACATTTTTTTTATTATTATTTTTTCTGCGCAGTTAATATAAAAGGATTTCAGGAAACGGTGCAAAACTCTGTGAAACGTGGAGGTCGACCGTCGCAGCCTGGTCTGACAGGAATAAAACGCAGCCAGAAGAGCCGGAGCCCAGTGAGGAGGCTCCACCTTTGCTGCGTCCTGATTGGTTATGTAAATAAAGCATTATTGCGCGTCCTGTCCTCCTGCAGCTCGCCACTGTATGGCTAATTAAATCATCAATCAAACGGAGGACGAGCAGATCCACGGTTACAAGCCTGAAAAGTAAAAAAGAAACAAGCAGAGGTAAAGATAATGCGAGACTAAACTAATAAATCTGTAAATTATTAACTTTTTTTCTCTTTTTATGTTATAAAACGGGAGGAAGAGGAGGTGTGGCACCAAACAGAGGAGTCAGGGGGGGATTATTGCAATGATTTGTAACTATTTTATAAAAATAAAGGAAAAAATCACGAGCTGTAATTAATTAAAATGTTTATTTTATATATATTTTTAAATATTTAAACAGTTTAAAATAGGGGCTGGGGTGAATTTGCTGACCCCTGCCCACCCCCCAAGAAGATTTCTGTGGAGTTATTAGAGGTAAAGAAAGGCTGTGACGTCACTAATGAAAACTGTTTTCATTTTTTTAATAAAAGTTCAAATTAAAAACAAAATAAGATGATTCAAAATCTTTTTAAATATGCTTTTTTTTTGTCTTTCAGTTGAATCACTTTTAAGGGGGGGGGCATATGTTTTATAGCAATGAACTTAAGCTGAATCGTCTATTTATTATATAATAATTAGGTACATTTCCTTGTTTTTTTTGTCTTATACAGTTTAATTTGGGGAACACCTTATATATTTTCAGCCCCCCCCCTCTGGAAATGCAGAAGCCTAATATTAAAGGATTAATTCACCTTTAAATATCCATTTTTTTTTCTTTTTTCGCCTCCAACTAAAGAAGAAGCCTCAGGAGGATCTGCCTCCTGAATGTTTTCTGGGTAAGTTTGGATTTTATTTCAAATGTTACCTTTAATTTTCTTTATTTTTTTATCTTCTCATCTGAAACAAAGACGGAGAGGAGGAGAGTCTGCACCGCTCGTGGATCCGATCCTGGCTGAATTATTGTCATGCGTAGTTTACTGCCAGTGTGCGAGCATGTAAACTAAGCCAACACACACACAGGGTGAGCCTGCAGTGGCCTCGTCTATGGGGCCACATCTTCACCGTGAAAACGGATTACAGCCGCTGTCTGACCTATAGGGGGACCTTGTGTTTAATGAATATATGGCTTTAAATAAGAAGAGGACTTTTGTTGCTGATGTTTCTCACATATTTTCCTTTTTTTTCTGCAAAAAAATACATTTTTTGTCATTATGTCTAAATAAAAAATTAAACTCTTACGTCTTTTTATATTATTATACATATTTAGCATTTCTACTCATGTTTTGCTCCATGTCTTTGTGCCTGTTTTATTTTCCTGCAGCGTTGGGTCTTAGAGGCGGCGCTGCAGAGGAGCTGCAGGGATGTTTCGCTGTCTTTTCCGTGGAATTACAGCTTCTGTTTGGGAGCTCGGGTTACACGCTGGCTGCTGCGCTGTCAGCTGCTGCTCCATGAGGGAACGACTCGGCAGGAGAAATTCAGCACAGCCCCAAGAGTTAAATCATTACAGGGAGGTCAGAGGTCAGGGAGGGGGGGGGGGATATTAGGACCTGCTTCAGACAATCTGGATTTGTCAAATTTAACACATTTCCAGCATCAGTTTACCGATAGAAGAGCCGTGAGTTGCAGGAGGCAGAAAGATGCCGATGCATCCGACGCCTCGGGACCTGAGCACAGTTGTATGTACATGTTGTGCATTCAGCAGCTCGGCCGCTAGGCGTCCCTGATTATTGGCCTAATTTAGATCTGCGAGAGTCACGTGACGAAAGAGAGCATCCACTGATGAATCCCTGCATCCTCTCTGGAAGCAGGCTGGCAGTTTCCCCCCAAACCTGTTGCAAAGAAAAGAAGGGAAATTTCTGCATAAAACTCGACTCATTATAAACAAAATAAAGCAAAATGCTGCAGAGATGTGAAATAAAATTTACAAATCTTCTGCATGGATTGATGCAGAGCAGCATCATCTTCAGATACGTGGAGCTTTTTCACAGAACTCCCTATTAGGATGTCAGGGAGCTGGAGCAGAGCTGATGTATTCAGCATCAAGCTGCCAAAACCATTTAAATACATCCCTGCCAAAGGTTTATCCTCCAACTAGTAGCACAAATAAATCGGATCCGTTTCCAAGCTAAACAATGATTCAGCTTCTCCTCCCTCAGAGTCCTGATGGGCGGAGCTTAAGGACAATTAGTTTGTTTTTGTTTGATTAAAACATCCGGGAAAAAAGGCCTTAAAGCTTCTACCTGCAGTAGCTGAGCACTGAGCCACACAGGGCGGATTGGTCAAAAAATAAGCAGCAGGAACATTAAAACATTTAGTAAGTGTTTCATAATTAGAGCAGCTTAAAAAAACAAATAAACTGCAGGTAATTTACAGGAAATTCCTTTAATTTTACAACATAATGCTGGAAACGTCATCGTTATACTTTTAAATCATCATTGCAATCAAATCACAGAACTTTCTTTATTTCTCTAGGTTGAAAACAAAACTCTGCAGTCACTAAATGCCCAATTTACTATTTAAACTATTATATTAAAGCTGAATTAAATAATCAAAATACATTTTAATTCTTATAATTAGAGAGATTCTGTCCAGTATGTTAATGTGCAAGAAAAAGGTAAACATATTAAAGCTTTACAGTAAGTGGAATCAGATCTGATCTACTTAATTTTCATCTTCATCATAGAAAATAGATAATAGAGTAAATATAAAGAAGGAGGAAATCACTTTTTCTTTTACTCTTGATATGATTAAAACATTAATCCCATTACAGTGAAATTAACACATTCATTTACAGGATTTACCTGAATTTGGTTTTATTAACATCAGAACAGATTTCCTTCATAATAACGTTACAGGAAACATCAACACAACTATCAACAGTTCTACAATGTGTGCAGAA